GCACCAGAGAATACTGTCTGCTCCATCTTCAAAATACATCAAGGCTCCAATCACTTCTCACCATGTTCATCGCCACCTTCTTGGCATAAGTCACCATCCTCTGTTTCTGAATTATGGCTATAGATCCTATTTGTTCTTCTTGCTTCCATACTGGCTCCAATACAGTCAGAATAAACTTTTAAACATGCATAGTCTGCATGTCAGACTATGTCACTTCCTGGCTTCAAACTCTCCAAAGGTTTTTCTTGTCACTCAGAATAAAATCCAAAGAGTTGATAGGCCTCTCATCTCTCTGATCTCATCTCCTTCACTCTTTCTTTCTCACACTTCTTCATTCTCAGTAGTCTCTCTGCCATTCTCCAAGCACATCAAATACAATCTCCCTTCAGGGCCATTGTGTGTACGGTGCTCTCTTCCTAATACAACCCGTCCCCCAATACATATATGGATTCCTCACGTCTTTCAGGATTCTGTTCACAATTCACCTCATCCGAGCAGTTGATCCCGATGTAAAATAGCACCTTATATAAAATAGGTCACCTGCCTCACTCTGCTGCCTTTTTCTTCAGAGAACTGTTATTGCCTGGCATAATCTACAAGTGAAAATTTGTCTGTTTCTCTCACCCCAAAATGTAGATTCTATGAAATTTATCTGTTTGAGTCTCTACTGGATACCCAGCTCAGTGGTTCAAGTAGCACTACTGGAACAAAGGAGCATTGTGCTGGAGAAGAATCAACGACACAAGGCTGGAAACAAATTAAGACCCACGCCCCAAATGGACTTTTTAGTTTATCATGAATTGGACTTCAGCTCCTCCGAAATAGTGGCTAGCGGAAATCAAGATCTTAGAGATTACCATTATTCTTTTCTGAACCATTTAAGAGCAAGATGCAGACAGAATGCTTCATCCTACTAAATAATTCAGCATACATATTCCCCACATAAGGACTTTCTTCTACATAGCTACAATATAAACATTCGAATCAGGTAATCAGCGTTTATAGGACACTACCATCCAATCCACAGACCTCATTCAATTTTGCCAACTGTTTGTTTTTCCTATCTGGTCCAGGAGTCAATCCAGACTTGTTTGTTGCATTTAGTCGACATGCCTCTTAAGTCTCCTTCAATTTGGATCGATTGGTTTTTCTATCTTTCTCTGTCTCTCATGAGCTTAAAAGTTTTAAAGAATACGAGCCTGTCATTTTTTAAGATGCTTCTCACCCTGGGTCCATCCAATGTTTCTCCATGTTCAGACTCAGGTTGTGCATTCTGAGCAGGACACAACAGAAAAGAGGCTGTGCTCTACTCAGCACATCACATCAGGAGGCACATCATGTGACTCGTTCCCTTCCTGATGATGCCCATCTTGATCACCTGGTCAATTTGGTGTCTTCCAGGTTCTTTCCAATAAATTCCCCCTTGATCAATAAGTATTTTTCAGAAGATGCTTTAAGACTAAGCTGACATCCTGCTTCATATCAAACATCCACCCACCAGACTTGGCAACCACTGAGGACTCCTGCCAAGAGTCAACCAACATTGCCAAATGGTGACTTACTATTTCCATCAATCTTATTAGTTGGCATTATTCCATAAGGAAGAGCTCTCCCTTTTTTTCCCATTTATTTATTTATTCCATCATTATTTATCTATTCATTTATATTGGCATGGATTCATGGATTCCTGTCTTATCCAATATGTTGTAATCAGTTACTATCACAATTTATTTTGATACTCAAATTGTCCCAGATTTGGCCAGTGGGAGCTCCTTCCTGCTGGCTCATGTGTCCTTTTAGCATGTTCCCATCATGCTTTGAGCACTTCCTATAAAAGTTTCCAAGCTTACTTTGTACTTTCCCAGCCCAAGTACTAGAATCAGCCCTGGTTCCATTTAATGGAGGATGGTACTTAGAAACCAAGATCTTCTGGCCACTTGATGTGTCCATTGCTCTGGCCTCTGAATGAAAATAGCTATATGTATATGTGTATATATATATATATATATAATGATTTCACACTCATTTTGAATCCAATCCAACACCTCAGGGTTCTTTATGAAGCTGAACAGGATCCTGTAGGGCCCTCCTGGGTACAAATCCTTTCCATGTCCCCCCATTTTTTGTTTAGAAAATAGGCTTCATTCAGCCTCCTCGACCTTCCCTGGGTTCCAAAGGGCAGATTCAAACAGTTGCTTATCAGGGAAGGAGAAAGAAACAAAGGAGGTGCAGTCAAGAAACAACAGTGCAGCAACAGGGCAGGGTCCTGGTTCCTCCTCAAGGAATACACACAAAATACCTTTGAGTTCCTCTGCAGGAACTAAGGCCCCTACCCAGGTGGAGGATGGCAACTTCAGGCTGAGCACAATATTGCTGAAACTCCGCTCACCAGCTCTGTTACCTCACCACCAACCAATCAGAAAAAAGTCTGCACACAGGGGAAGATAATGAAGACCCTGATCCCTTCCGCAAATGATTCTCCCTTTAAAACTTTTCATGGTCAAGCAGAATCTTTGGCATTGGTTTTTGGACATGAGTCTGGCTTCTCCCCAGGTTGCTGGGCTCCTGAATAAAGCAACCTTTCCTTTCCAACCAACACCTATCTCTCGGGTATTGGATTTTTAATGGCCAGCAGCAGAACCTGAGTTCGGTAACATTTATAGCTTTCTTTCCTCCCATATTCGTAAATTCTTTCTCCCACACTAAGAAACCTGGCTCCCATTATATTTAATATTTTACTTATTTGCCCAATGTCCCTGTAATTAATCAGTCTCTCAGCCAGGATGCTACCTCCTTGATCCTGCCATCTCCTCAGCCTCTAACTTTTTCTCTAAGGGAAGAAAACAACAGGGGTGGTTGTGCATTCTTAATGACACAGATTCACTAAGTTTTGTGGCTGGAGAAAAACTGCTAAGAGACAGAGAGATATGGGGAAACACTTTGGTTTGTGAGACATCTGTACAAAACCTCGCTGGGGGGTTTTAGGCAAAGGACTCAGATCTCTGGTGGTTCAGGAACCAGCAGCCAGGCATTCTTCACTTTTGCCTTTTTGGCATTAGGCACTATAAAAAGCACTGTCCCAATTGCCTAGAAGCCTATTTTCTAAAATGAATAAGTTAGGGAAATACACAAACCCAGCACATCCAATACCATAAAGACAAATGCTTCTAAGTAGTTCTTTTTCTGCCTGCTTCTAATTTGGGTATAGCTGGGATTCTTTGCTCTCCCCTAACAGCCACCAGCTGTTCATACTGCTTCTGGAAAAACAGCAGTTGTACTGGTGGACAGCCATTAACAGATTTCTGTAAACAGGCTAACTAAGGTCCTGGGGAAAAGGTGGACTTTTGTTTTCATCAAGAATGGGTCCTGAGTTCTCTGAAAGATTACCAGCTGGGAAGTACAAGGTGGGTGATTAAGAACCATCACACAAATTGCTTTCGAGACGTGATAGGTATCTCAAGCCAAAGAAACTGTTGGTGTGAAAAGATAAACGCTCAAACATTTAACTGGTAAGGAATTGTGCTGTGTCAAAGTTTTAAGAACACGACTCTAGAGGGGCTGTACTCTCCACTAACTAGTTGTAAGCTCTATGCACAACTGGAGAATATCCTATAAACAATGATAACCCAAACATACCTGCCTTGCCTATTGAGGCTCTAAGTCCTCTGTTACCAGTCATGACGACCAGAATAAACACAGTGAAGAAATAGCTCACCCAATTTCTTTTCTTACAGAGTTAGAAAACACTCATTCTATAGGAAAACAAATGCCACATGTTTGCTGCCAGAGGGTAAGAGAGAAGCCCATTTCTATACTCGTTCTAATACAGTGCAGCATAAGCATGATCTGGGAACTTGTTAAAAAAGCATATCCTGGAACCCACCTCTCATGTACTGAATGAGAAACTCTGAAGCAGGGCCCATCAGTCTGAGTTTTAACACACACACACACACACACACACACACACACACACACACGTGACAGTGACGGTGATGTACATTTAAATTTGATAGTCACTGCCCTAGATATTCCAGGCGTTGTGTTCGGAGGACCCAGCTACCAACTAACCTTACCAGTTGGCCCTTGGATGGGTAATTAAGGAAAGTTGTTTATGAGAGATACACACATTTCTCTACATTTGAGACGCAGGAAGTTGTTCCTCTCTTCATAGGTCAAGGGGTCGCTTCCCCTTTTGCCTCCACCTGGACCAAGTCGCAGATTAGGTTGAATTTGAGGCCCGGCAGGGGTCGCTGCTGCCCATAGAGAGACCGAGGGAGCGTGACAAGAGAAGCCTAGAATCTTTGACATCACATTAAGCTCCTCCTTGCACGCACACATTAGACACACACACAAACGTATACAGACACACACACACACACACACACACACACACACACACACACACGGACCGCGTACTCTTCTCTGCCGGCTTGCTCCCGCTGCGGCAAGTGTGTGCCGGGCGCAGCCTGAGGGACCCGGCGCACAGCAGGGGCGGCCGCCGCGCCTCCAGCCCGACCCGCACGCCCCAGCGCTCGGCAACGGCAGCCGGGACTCCTCGCCGGCACCCCGGGCTCGGAGCAGCCGCGCCCGCCCCCGCCGGGGCTGCAGGGCGCCGGGCCGCCACCCCGCACGCTCCCGGGCCCCCTGCCACCCCTATGAGAGAAGGAGAAGCCGGGCGAAGGAGCAGGACGCTCGGCAGCCGGACTCCGCCGCAAGCCCGGAGCGCCCCCTCCGCCCGCGGCCCGCCGGCGCCCGCGAAGCGAGATGCAACCGCCGTGCTCCGGCTGAAAAGGGAAGGGGCCGGCGCCACCCGCTCGCTCGGAAGCCGGTCCCCGCGGCGGCTGCGCGTCCCGGCCGCGGCCCCTCGGGCCCGGGACTGAGCAGGAGCAGAAGGGGGAGAAGGAGGACAGGCGGCCGGCCAGGCGTTGGCCGGGGCTGGGGAGGAGGGACGGCGCGGGGGGAGCGCGCGGGGGGCGGGGAGGGGGCCCCGGCGGATAAAGATGGCAATGTCTCTCATCCAAGCGTGCCGCAGCCTGGCTCTCTCAACATGGCTGCTTTCCTTTTGTTTCGTGCATCTGCTCTGCCTGGACTTCACCGTGGCCGAGAAGGAAGAATGGTACACCGCCTTCGTGAACATCACCTACGCCGAGCCCGCGCCGGACCCCGGGGCCGGGGCGGCGGGCGGCGGCGGCGGCGGCGGCGGCGGCGGCGGCACCACCGCCGCGCTGCACACCGAGAAGACCGAGTGCGGGCGCTACGGGGAGCACTCGCCCAAGCAGGACGCCCGCGGGGAGGTGGTCATGGCCAGCTCGGCCCACGACCGCCTGGCCTGCGACCCCAACACCAAGTTTGCCGCCCCGGCGCACGGCAAGAACTGGATAGCCCTCATCCCCAAGGGCAACTGCACGTACAGGGATAAGATCCGGAACGCGTTCCTGCAGAACGCCTCCGCCGTGGTCATCTTCAACGTGGGCTCCAACACCAACGAGACCATCACCATGTCCCACGCAGGTAAGCGGCCCCGGCGGGCGCGGGGCGGGGGAGGGGAGCCAGAGGAGGATGGAGGCGCCGAGAAGGATCCAGCGCCTGCCTCCTAGCTCCTTCCTGCTAAGTCCGTGCTTTGCGAAAGACGCGTCTCTGTTCCTCGGACCTACTAAGTTTTGCTCTGCGTCACTTCGTGGGGTTTACAAAGAAGAGAGGACTAACAGCATTGGGGGCACCAGAGAATGCGTTCCAATTAGCATCGCGCCACTCGGACGAAGGTTGGCCGAGGGGGGCTAACTTTTCCGAGGAGGATCTGGTAGGTGGGGTGTGGGGGGCAGGGTTCGGATGTTGTTCTCGGCTAGTGAGCGGCCCCGCACCTGTTTGGAACCGGGAGATCTGATAACTCAGCTCTTCACTTGGGTGTGTGCATCAGGTATACTCCTGAGGCCGGCGTTTGTGTATCAGGAGGCGGGTAGGGTTACTGGTGCTGGCGCTCGTCACTGCCGACTCGCTCAAGTCGGGTTTCAGCTCTTCGTGGGAGATTGAGTACCGCTCCCCCGACCCCGCCCCGCGCCGCCCGCTGGGTTGACGCGAGTCATAAATAATACCGAAAATCCTGTGCTCTGCCAAGCTGTCATCCGGAGGAGCTGACAGGCGGCCACGATGGTAAAGAGTAACAATCCTCAAAAAGCCACCAAGAGCATGGTTGCATTATCCTTTGCCCGCTTGGGAGGTGAAATATGGGGAAGGTTTTCTTTATGGCGAGAAGGAGATTTCAGGGTGGAAAGAATAAGCTTTTCGTAGTGGTCGCAGGGTGCCGGGATGAGAAGTCCATGACGTCCTAAAACTCGCTCTTTCCC